TCAAAGGAAAGCAAAATAGTTTAATATTTTGACAGGATTAAAAGTAACCTTATCTCATATTCTTTCAGACAGTTGCATTGTTGTCTATGATGAATGCTGAACAAGCTAATCAGATTCCCCGACCAACCGTAGGTAGAAGTTAGAGCAGATGCTTGCAAAAGTAATTGGTAACACCCATGTTATGCCTTTACTTTGACGCATAGCTGAAATATCTATGCTAAATTATTATTATTATTATTATTATAGCATTGGTTAATCATATTTCTCTTAATTTGTGAGGCCTATGTTGGATAACAGCATTTAGCCAATTTTGGCTGACCTCAGAAATGAAGCAGATTCAGCTTGGCTGATATATGGGTAAGAGATTACCAGAAATCAGAGCTGTAAACCGCACTAGGAAGTTTTAAAAAAAAACACCACTTGGAGACTATGAAATCACCATCAGCTGAGTTTGAGTTGAGGATTACATTAGCCTTATAAAAGAAATTGATAATCTGTGTTGCATGTTTTCATAACAGAGCTCAAAAAATTAAGGCAAATTACTACTAGAAAATGTAGATTTTATATTGTAATTTCTGAAAACTATAGTTATTGAGGGAGAGTTTACATTTAAAAAAAATTGCTGTTGATAAATGACACAGAAGTTATCATAGCATGGCCCATGTCCTTTCCCCATTGCAAGCGAAGTGATAAGCTTTTCTAGGATGTTGCCTGTTGCAAAACATATATGTATCAGACGGTTTCTTTGGTGAAAACGGTTCTTATATAGATTTAAACTATTTAAAACTTGCAACAACTCATCTAACATTTCTTTAATAAAGGTGACAGAAGTAATTTCACAACTTCAGGGTTTGAATGTAAAAGCTGTCACACGCAGACTTTGAAGAGTTTCTGGCAAAGAGACAGCTAAGAGACTGAAAATGTCTCCAGTGTTATCTTGCCACTGCCATAAATTTACTAAGCCTAAGGCACACCTCTATATCTTGTCTTAGCTGTCCCACATGCAATGGGGAGGGGGGTAATACTATTGTTGCTGAGATGGTACGAGCAAAGCTCTTTGAACACTTTAATATGTTGTATAAATGTTCATGCTATAGAATGTCAGGCACCATGAAAGGAGCGTCTGTTTTAATAGGCAAAAGACACTTGTGGCCCGGGGCTCTGAACTTCTTTAAATGAAGTTTAGAGGTGGGTTTACCATTCTGAAACTTCAGCTCTAGCACACCTGGCCTGTGGGGGGTCTTTCAAACTTTTCTCATCCCTCTTGTTATCCTTGGCTGATAAAATCATGCGAGGGTAACACAGACTCCATCTCTCAGAAATAAGCTTTTCCCTCCAAAGCCAGCAATACCTCTTCAGCCCCCAAAGTTTAAAAAAAGCATAGCCCTAAAATGTTGTCGTTTCAGATTTATTAACTGTTTTGATTTAATTTTATTACTCTTATTTGAAATTTGCTACATTAAAATCATTAAAAAAGAGAAACAACTATTTTATCGAACATACTGATTCTTTTCATCTATTGTACAGCAGTGATTGTGAGTGTGAAAACACATCTTTGGTGGTGTCCCCTGCAGTATTAAAGAGTGTTGTTGAATGCAGTCTTAACTACAGTTCATCAAAAAAAGAAAATATTTTTATTTCACTTAATGTATCTGTCAACCTAACAGGTTAGAATATATTGTGTTTCTTGTTAGAGCATATTGTGCGTCTATTTTTTCTCTTCCTAGTTTGCAATCATGGGAGAATTCCTGGTTGTGTATTTCAGATGTTTTGCTAGAATTTTCAAAACTTAATTTCTGTTTTTTTTTTAAAGGCCATAAGCTCCTGAATTTTAAACTTAATTAAATTAAGGTATCTCATTCAACAATTTCAATATTTTAATTGAGCAAATCTAACTAATTCCTACAGTAGCATAGTCAAGATCCACAAAGAAATTTATATAACATCATCAAGGCATCCATGGGGGAAAAAAGTAATTAGAGGAATCATAATAGCATTGTGTAGTCATGGTGTGAAAGCAGGTAAAATAATAATAAAGAGCCAGCAATACTAATGCCATGAAATCACAGAGGTAAATGTCTTGTGTAAGGGACTTTGTTAAATCTAAAATATTGCTAGTGTAAATACTGTGTGATATTTAGAAAGAGAGAGCAAATTGAGGCACTATGGAAAGGTGTTGAGCGGTAGAGCTGATTTCCTATAATTATAATGGATGAAATTGTGCTTATTTCATTCTGATATTTCATATCTAAAACCCCTTTGCTTAAGAACTGATTGTGCTTGTTCATATCCCAAGGGAAATAATCTCTTAAGGAGTACTAGGTTTAAGCATAATCTTTTGTCTGCAGTCCCCTTCCAGTTAGGTGGATATCTGTTGACTAAAGTGAGAGGAGCAAGTTCCTTGGGACTAAAATGAACTTCAAACAGAAGTTAGAGGTGGAAATCCATCTAAGGCCAAATTCTATTTGAAAGGCAACATGGCAAACATATTAGATCATCTTGAATGCTTCCCTCAAAAGTTAAAAGTTGCACTAAGTGAGGAAAACCTTTATCGTCCGTCATATTATTTTTAAAATTACAAGGATGTAAATCTAATAAAATAGTTTATAGTTAACATTATCTCGTGTGTGTGTGTGTGTGTCTGAGTGTGAGAGTAATAGTAGTAGTGGTGGTGATGGTGGTGGTGGTGGTGTAGTAAAACTGGAAAGCATAGAGCAGCCTGGGCAACTTTGAAATATCTGGTCTTCAACTTCCAAAATTCCTGGGGAAATCATGGGGAGTTCTGGGAGTTGAAATCCAGGTATCTTAAAGTTGTCCAGATTGAGGAAAAACTGGTATACAAGTCTCATCCCTAAAAATAATATATGTAAAACTTTTTGTGTCTTTTAAAAATGTTTTAAGCAGGATAGTTAATGTTTACGACTAAAGAATATAATACAGCTTCTGTAATTTATTTATTGATCGGGTACTCATTCTCATTAAAGCAAAAGCAGCATAGTAAACATTGGCTAGTATATTTGAAAACAAATTGTAGGTTAATAAATTTATCATTCAGCAAAAAAACTGTGTTTTCTCCTCTGCTTTGTAAAATTGCTGGAGATAAACTGGAACCTTTAGAGGTAGTTCCCAAATGCTAGAAAAAGATGGTTATTTTACAGAGAGGTAGGTAGAAACTATATTTATTTATAATCCTGTACTCTCTTAATGCATTTTTGTAACATTCTAAAAAAAATGAAAAGGGGAAGTGAAACATGTAATAAATGGATACACAGAATATGATATAGAACATGTGTAATATCTACAGAAATTACTTTGAAGGAAAAATCTGCTGCATTAACAGTAATGCCATTGAACTGAGGGATTAGACTCAGATATAGCAGGTTCTGGGAGGGAGTATATCAACTTTGAAAAAATCCTGAACAATGTATGATCTTCACAGACTGCTAAATTCCTTTAAGTTAGGATTAGATGAGTTCATGAAGGCATGAATAGTTACGGGTACTTAATGTATCCAGTATGAATTTCGTATTCACTATGGGGAATAGCTTGGCCAATGATTCTGCTTGGTGTATATTGCAAAACAATACAGAATAAATATGTATGGTTGTGGAATAAAACTGTTGGTATAGATGTTAATATAATCAAGAAATGGGGCCCTTAACACATTTGGAGCCCCAAGCTATATTGAAAAAACATAGCTCCTCTTACATACTTAAGTATGCCTGGTTAATATATTACCAAGATATCATATCTTTAATATATTAATCAAAGCATTCACATTTACCCGCAAAGAAAGCAATCATTAACACAAGACTATATTATCCAGGGTGTGGCATTACAATAGCAAGTGTGCAAGTTAGCTGGACAACTGTTCTGTTCAGATTTGGTACTTGAATGATGATAGTGATAATGTGCGTCTTAAAGGGTCAATTGCAATACAAATAGGCAAAGAGTTTTTATTTTGGGAAGAATTCTCATACAATATTGTCACTTCCTGTTAGTGTTTGGGCTTCAAAAAGCTTATTCCTTTTTAAGTACATTCTGTACGTGTTGGTACAGAGGTGAAAATTAATTACAGAGTTAAATTTTAAAGTTTCTCCCCTTGCTGATAATGAAATAGCTAAATATCTGTCTGTAGCCCATTTATTTAGAACGAAAAGTAGGATGTCTGTGTTAATTGTTTATATCCTTTTTTATAATAAATGTCTCAGTTGCTTTGGTATTTAGTATAATGTAGGTGTCAAACGTTTTCTTCTTTATTCTTGAATTTATTTTATTTTTTTCCTGCAGGGCACATATGTGCATGTGTGTATGAAGAGGGCTACAGATCATTGTTTGACACCAGAAAATTAAACTAACCTGTTTCCCCCAAAATAAGAGCTCCCCAGATATTAAGCCCAATCGGGGTTTTGAGACCTAAAATAATCCCTCCCCTGAAAATAAGCCTTCCCCCAAAATTTTGCAACACAGCAGCAGCCATGTACCTCATAAATAATAAGACCTCGCTGAAAATAAGACCAAGTGCTTATTTTGGGGGGGGGGTGTCAAAAGAAAATAAGACCCTGTCTTATTTTGGGGAAAACACAGTAGCTTCATTTTTAGTTGTTTAGGCTGTATTAAATAGATAGCAAGGAATATGGTTTTAAAAGATTAAATGTCGGGAGCATAAAATAGACCTTCAGACTTTTGGATTAATGGGATAGAAGTTCAATAATTGTAAGGATTTCAGTAAGCTTGAAAAGGAACGGTATTTCTACAGGCCTGTTGTGGTTATTAAAACATTTTGAGTTTTCTGTAAACATGTTGTCCTTAGATTCTGTGTTCACAGGCGCAACAAAAGATGGAAACTTGCAAGACGGCAAGTTGTGCAGATTATAGAACAGATATTTTGTATGTATTTGTTACACATTTTCTTCTAAAAGTAATGGACTAGTGAAGAAATGTTACAAGGGTAATTGTGCCTCATTTCTCTCTCTTCTCTCTTTTTTTAAATCATGCAGGGCCCTCCAGATTTTCAACCAAATGCTCCTGGACCCGTTCCTAGTAATTTCAACCAAGCCCCACGACTTTCTCTCCAAGATCAGTGGCGAGGACCTCCACCCCCTCTTCCGCCCCCACCTCCACAGGAGAGAGAACCTTTCTTCATGGGAGGTACGGCCATTGTCTTACCATGTGGGAAGATACATTTCCCCCAGGGATAGGATTGGACATGAACAACGAAGCCAGAATCTTCTCTATCTTGTCATTTGGCCAATCTCAAAATCTTCCCATTATTCCTTTGTTTGTATTTAGCAGTTATGTACGTACTCTTGAAACAGAGTGGCTTGTAGCCCGGACCTTTTTCCTACACATTTTTTACCTTGTTGATGCATTCTTAACCACAGAAAATTTTCAGGAAGTGAGGCACCAACTACAGGATTATTTGTCTACAAAATTGGTGACTTCTAGTTGGAGTAGAGTATACTGGGCCCGTGATGGCGAACCTATAGCACGTGTGCCAGAAGTAGCACGCGGAGCCATGTTGCCTGGCATGCATGGCGTTGCCCATTCCTCTTCTAGTTTTCTGGCGCACACGACGATCAGCTCGTCTTCATGTGTGTGGCAGTGCCGGAAACAGGAAGAGCAGGTCTTTCATTTTCTGCCATGCACATGCACGCTGGCCTGCTGATTGTTGGGTGCACATGCACTCCAGTAACTGGAATAGCATGTGCACCAGAAACCAGAAGTTCATTTTGCAGCACACACATGCCCCCTGGGCAGCTCCTCTTCCTGGTTGCAGCCCAGACGGGCGTGTGTGCACTCCCTTTTCAGCACTTGGTTAATGGAAGAAATTGTTGGCCGTCCTCCTAGCAACTCTCTGTTAGACTTTTATTTCCAGTGGGGTTGGTCCAAAACTGGTGTTTTGCTTGGCAGATGAGTTAGTTTCATGCTATCTCCATTTTTTATCTTTCTGACAGAGCCGAGATTTCCCGGCCATCACTTGTTTGAACAGCGGAGCCCGCCGCCACCACCGCCCCCCCTTCTTAACAGCACACACTCTGTGCCTAGCCAAAATCAGCTCCCATTCAGTCCATCTGGGCCTGGTTTCAGCCAGCAAGGGCAGCAACCCCTGTTTCCAAGAGAAAGGCTGGTAAGACCCAGTCTGCAACCTCAGGGTCCAGTGGGAATCCTTCACTTCGGCCAGCCTGGAGCAGCCAACGCACGGCCTTTTCTTCCCCCACGGCAGTCCTTTCTGCAGCTCCCAGGACAGCCTTTCCTCAACCCCCTCACCCAGGCCGGCATGCAGGTATGTAACGATTAGGAAAACTCTTCTCATCACTGTTGAGTCTCATCTCCACGACCATTGTAACCTGAACTCTCCCGTGTAAGTCCTCCAGTGTCCTTGTTCTTCCCCATTGTTCCTTACTTGTCTTTCTGCAAGAGTACAACTTTAGAGAATAGTATAGATCTGCTATCTGCAATCACATTAAGAAAAAAGATGGCAACTCTCTTGTCTGGTACTTGGGAGAATATAGCCAGCTTTTACTGAGCCGTTTTTTGGCCCTTTCTTCAAACCCTCCTATATGTAAAGCAGTCACTTCCTTCATATTTCAGGCTAAGTGGTGAATATTGATCTGCCTAGCATACTCGTGCTATCATAGGGATTCTGGGAGTTGTAGTCCAAACTTATGTCGAGTGTGCCATTTTTTCTGGAGGGCGAGTGGGGGAAGCTGTTATGTAATAACATTTAGTCTTAGTTCAGACCATACATTGCTGAAGTAGAATGCTGAGAAAAGCTTCCTTATTAAACAGAGCTTAAATATTTAATGTTCGAAGCAATTTAAACTTGCCTTTGTATTGCTGTGCCAAGCATGAAAGCATTACTCTCCCTACCATCACCTCCACCACTGGTGGCCAGCACTAATTGTAATATAAGGGCTAACTGCAACTATATCATGCGAATGTTTCAAAGTGAAGACATTAAAAAGAGTTGATTTTTGTGAAGCTGTTCACAGAGATATTGAGGTTAAAGAAGTTTGTAATATGACATTGTTACATATTCCATGATTTCCTAAAATTGATTTACTCCAGAAGAGACACCAAAGTCTATTTCCTGAAAACAAGTTTCTGTAGTATGTCTGTTACACACGCATTTAAAAAACATCAAATCCGGAACAGTACAAGACTTAGAGCTCCCTCTTCTGGTGTTCCATTTTCTTCCATGAGCGCTCAGAAAAAAAAACCAATGGCTTCTAGTAGTTCATTCGCTGAAGCATTTAAAAAAAATGATTCTGTGTTTTATTAAAATTGAAAATGTCCAAGATTTAAGTTGTGATCTTCACCTTCATCCCAAAAAAGGAAGTTACAATTCAGGAGAGATCTTAGATTAATCTGAATTGATCTGATTAAAATTGAGTGGTATTTAATTGGACTATTCAACTCTTTGGATTTGAAGATTGAAAGCTGGTCAGAGTAAACAGAAATCGAAACTTTAAAGCAGATAATACAAGAAGTCAGAATGATAGAATAACGAAGTTGGAAGGGACCTTGGAGGTCTTCTAGTCCAACCCCCTGCTCCAGTATGAGACCCTATGCTATGGCTGTCCAGTCTCCTCTTAAAAATCTCCTGTGATGGAGCACCTAGAACTTCTAGATGTAAGCCATTCCGCTGATTAATTGCTCTTAATGTCAGCAAGTGTCTGTTCAGTTCTAAGTTGGATCCTCTCCTTGATAGGTTTCCATTTGTTACTTCGGGTCCTAGCTTTGGATCCTATGGAAAATGGGTTGTAGTCCTCGACTTACAACCACAAATGGGACCAAACTTCCCATTGCCCAGCAAGGCGGTTGTTAAGCGAGTCATACCTGATATTGCCGGTGTTTTTGCCACAGTTGTTAAGTGTATTGCTGTAGATTTTACATGAATCATGCAGTCGTTAAGCTAATCCAGCTTCCTCCATTGACTTCGCTTGACAGAAGCCGGCTGGGAAGGTCACAAATGGCAATCACATTGACCCCAGGATGTTGCAACTGTCATAAACACATGCCGGTTGCCAAGCACCTGAATTCTGATCACATGGCCGTGGAGATGCTGTGACGGTTGTAAGTGTGGGAACCAGTCATAAGTCACCTTTTTTTTCCAGTGTCTTCGAATGGTCACTAAACAAGTGGTTGTAAGTCAAG